CTTTTCCCAGTTCAGAGCAGCCAGGGAATCTTCTTCCATGGGAAAGCAACAGTTCCCAAAGCTCGAGAGAACTTCTGGCACAGTTTTTGAAGGTGGTAGCAGCAGCAGTGCAAGCCCAGGAATTACTGGAAGGAGGGAATTGGGACCTGGAGAAAAATCTGAGAACATCTGCTCTTGTCTGCATTGGTAGTACCATCCATGTATTATATAAAATACAAAAATAAGAGAAACTGAAAGGAAATTAGTACAGCCCAGGATTCTGGTGGTATCAAATCACAAATGAAATTTATGATACCAAATCCTTGTGATGTATTTATCCCCTTGTTCAGTTTCCTATATATTATTCTATATATAAGATATAGTTTTCCAAAGATACATATATATTCCTTTACAGGTTAAATAAAAGCAAGTCCCACTGAATAAGAAAATAAGAGGAGGTAATGTCCTAATTCTCTACCCATATCTTTTTTTCTTTTTCAGGTAAAAATAGCATGAAATACATTCAGTAGCAAAGCAGTTGGAATCCAGGAGAAATGGAGAGCCCTGTATTCCTGGAGAATTAATCTGTATGTGTTCAGTCACGATCCTGAAATAAATCATGTAGACTTCTGACTTGGGAGAGATAGGATCTTGATCAATGCTGGGTATTATTTATCCAGTTGCAAATTCTTTGAATTTCCCAAAACCCATCTATGGATTAGCCTGGTTTTAAAGGCTGCTGTGATGTATACCCAGCCTAACTTGAAAGGTCCAAACTTGCGTGCTTCATTGTGTCCCCCCTCAGTATTATTACTCGGAAGGAGGTGATGGGACAGCTCCCAGTAGGATATTAGCATAATAGACAGAAAAATAATTTAGTTCAAGCCTTTATGTTTGCAAGAAGGACATGATGCCTGGCGCTGTGTATACTCACCGCCCTGGGTATACACAGCATTGCATGTCTAGTGCAGCCAGGTGTTTGCACAACAGCCCATTCTGCAGGGTTCAGCTGTAACAGAGGTGTGCTTGTCAACCACCACAGTTCCTCAGTCTCGAGAGAAAAATCTCTGCCCTGGTCTTCACATTCTGACAATAACACGTACTAAAGTTTTCTCTCTAGCAGTTGGAAGAAAACCAGCATTGTAAGGTAAGAATATTTCTGTTTTCAATGCCAAAGGTATTTAGGCTTATTCGATTATGCAGAAGTATGCCAATTATCCCTGAGTCTAACAGTAAATCAAAATAAGAGGTACAGTTCTCCCGCACATACAAGTAGTTTCATGGATTTCACTGCAACTACTTAATAGATGGAAGGGAACAGCCCTACCCTTATCCTGTGGGGAAAGCATGACTCATGTAGCTTCCAAGTTTTGATACTTCAGTGCCAGTAAATTCAGATTTTTATTTATTCCTAAATGGCCACATTCAGTCAGTGAGTGACATTGTGACTCTGAAGTCAATGAGATACTTCATGCTTTGTCAAGGGGTTGAATTCTTGCTGTTCTTGACTTTCTTTTTATCTCCCTCTCCCTTTGTAAATAGCTGTTTCTATTTTGAGTTGGTTTTTTAACACAATGGCGCAGATGAAAGCATCTCTCTTAAAAGAAATTTCAAGGGCCAACCAAGAGAAGTCCTTTAAAATATCTAACAAGGAATAAAAATTGCTTACCTATGTAAGCAATGTAACTTAGCTGTAGCAAATTATATACTAATTAATGGGCAGGACAGGATGTGTTTGTCAGCTGGCAGTACTGATTACATGGCTGACTACCTTTCCTGAGACTGGTTTTACTAAACATTGATGCATATGGACCTCAAGGATTCTGCAGTTTCTTGGATTAACACCACGCATGACATTTTCTATTTTATTGTTTTTAATACTCTCCAGGTACATTTAGAATTTGTTAAACTAAGTTAAGTAAGTCCTATTATTTTAGAATATGAAGTTTGATTCACAAAGATAATACAAGACTTGTTCACAGATGTACCATGTAACTAAATCAGCCTTGCTTCATTTACCCTGTAAAGTTACAGTCAAAGTCAAAACAACTTCCTTTTAAAGTGAGAAAAAGTTTGGGGTTTTTTTTTTTCCATATTGGGCATCTCAGGAACAGATTAAAATCCAACAAGATAAAACAGTTGTACTAAAAATATTCTTTGGGGGGTTTGTCCCTAATCAAAGTAAAGGCTTTATTTCAGAACTGTGCATTCTCAGTAAAATTAAAAAATAAGATTTAGTTCCACATATAGATTTATAAAATTCAAATTACTTTTAATATAAGTTTGATGTGGACACATAGTTTAATACTGACTCAGGAAAAAAATATTAATCACTCCAGACTTAGGAGCTATGTTAGCTGTTCCAGTGCCACATGAAAGTAACAGTTTCAGTGAGACTTTGATGATGTTTCCTCCTGAAAAGTTAAACAACGAGCCAGTTATCCCCAACAGATCAGTCGGTCTGTGATACGTGTGCATGTAGCTCTGTCACACACTGCTGAAAGGGCTAATTAAAACACAGATTTGTTTTCTCACAGGAAGCTAAGTTTCCCAATAGCATGTATAGTCAGCAGGTAGAATTTTAGCTTGCCTAGTTTAATCCTGCAGTCTTGTTCCTTTCCTTGTTGTCTGACAATAACTCTGCTTATTCATCAAGATAATGTCATAGAGCTATTTTCTTATTCTTTCAGTAGTTTTGAGAAGACACAGTTTCCACATATATATTACTCCTCCAAATGCCACTGCTACAAACACTACCCTGGATCTACAGATGGAAGGTGAAAATTGTTTACTGCCTTTATGTCATTGCCAAGAGCGATAATGCAGCCATTGCCTTCTGAAACTTTTCTTGCTGATGCAAGCCAGCTTCCATCCTACAAGGTTTTGAAATTGTCATGGCTAGCAGGTAGCAAAACAAGTCTTTGTCACAGAAACTCAACTTCCAAAGTCAGAGAGCTGCTACACTGAGAAAGATGATGATGTGTCAAAGGCAGTTCCATGAAACATGGTGCGCTTATTTAACAGTCCTTTTTTGATGAACTGGGGAAGTCTCACTCCCATGATCTGCTTGCACTCATTGGACCCTTTGAGATGATTTAACTCATTAACCTGGCAAAAGACTAATCGGGGGGGGAAGAAATCCTCCCACATCTTTTTTGTGGTTGTTTTTAATCATTTCCAGTAAGTGCCGTAACAAGGACAAGGGACACGACTGTACAACGGGGAGTTGAAGGGGTGAGATCTTGGAGCAGCAGTGAGCTGTTACGTTAACTCAGCTGCTCAGGGAATCACAGTCTTAACATTTTTCTTTTAATTATTACTGCATTTTTCCAATCAAGGTTTTAAAGTATGATTTAAGATAAATGAAATGAGAAATTCGGACACTTGTCAAACCATCAGTGTCACTCATCGGCACAGTACTCTCAAATTAACAATCGGATGTTCACCAGGTATTCTTAAATGTCACTTCAAATTTATTATGCAGTTCATTTCAATTGTGAAGCAGAACTGGTAAGTGAATGACTAATGCTAGGTTTAGACAGTCAAGAGAATGGAAACATTTATGCAAATACTATTAGCAAGAAAGTGACCAGGGAAAAAGATCTTTCTTAATATTTGCAAAAGAAATTCCTTCTGCCTTTTCCCCCCTTTTTTCTCACTGTATTAGTATTTCCTGTTAATCATCACTGTTCTTGCAGGTACCTTTTAAAATATTAAAAATTTTTAACCCTTTACTCTTAGAAGAGAGAATTTAGTTCCAGGATAGTTGTGTCAGGATAGTGATTATATTTTGCTCTCTACTTCAAACAGCTGACTGCCTTTCAGAATCATTCCTTTGGCACAGGTAACATTAAATTTGTACTACCCTGTTTAAAATAATTTGCAATTATGCTTGACAACGAAGCACAAGATGGGTATCATTAAATTTTATTGTACAAAACTGACAAGATATGGCATTCCTTAGAATTAGAATTAAAAAAAAAAAAATCAAAACAGAACTAATGTCCCTGGAACGATTTTGTAAATGGAACAATTAATACACAACCTTTAGTCCAGCAATGATATTTACCTGCAAGACCATCTTTAGACATGACAGTGTTAATTAAAAAAATATTCCATCAGTTCAAGCAACAGTTTAGTTTTCCATGAAATAAGTCTTTCTATAAACACTTTATGTTCAGTCAAAACAAATGCTTTTTCTTACCTTAAGAGATATAAAAAAACCAGACAGGTTTGGGAATCATCAGAGAAGTCTACCCCACGGGAAAGTCTAGGTCTTGTATTCCACTTGAAAATGTTTTTTTTTCTTTTTATAAAAATAAGTAATACCAACGTAGCATTTCCTAACCAAATACTTCTAGCAAACAGATCTTACTTCCGTGATTTTTATTCGTCAGTGCAGCACAAGCCTTTTGGGTTTTTCATTTGGTACCTCATTTCTGTGTCAAATTCAGAATTTGAATGTAGACCCAGGGAAATGTTTTCAATTAATTTCATTCACAAAACCCACCCTTTATTGCACAGGATTTACAAAAGATCAAAACTATGCAAGGTCTTCACTCTGCTTCTCAGCAAAAGCATCAAATAAATGTTGAACAGTTTTCCCTTTATCCCAGTGGAATGAATTATTTCTTGGAATTCTTAGTATAAACATGAAATAAAAAAGGGAACTAGATAACTTTATGTTAAATTCCAGTTGAGCTGCAAATAGCCTTTAAACAACAGTGCTACAAAGAACTGCACTACTTGCATTTCTGAAGAAAAAACAATCAAAACTAAGAAATTATCAGGGAAGCTCATAAACAACTGTGCCAAGAGAGCACAAAGACTATCTTTGCTATGGCCTAAGCTTTACAAAAAGTGCTTCTCTGCAGGACGCAGTCGCTGCGATAAACTTCTGAGATGGTCCCAGGGCGTAAGTTATCCTAGACACCCACACACATACTAGTACTTATTACACTGTGCTTTCTATGAAGAGATTATGCTTCAGTACTTTACACATTTACCATTCTCTCTCTTCCTCCAGAAGTCGAAAAAACCTTCTATGCAAGATAAAAATAATTTTGAATAATTAGTCATGTATTAAAGACCTAGTTTTGAAGTATTCATTTAACATCTAGTCATATAAAATAAAGTGTAAAAGTATGAAGGTATCAGAACGTGGCTTTCAGCAAGGCAGTTTGGGAAGTAAGAATTCAACATAAAACAGGAATTTTTTTTTTTCCCCTTTGAAAAGGGTCACATCAGAATGAATGAAAAACACCGAAGAATTTCACTTCAAGCCTGCACTCCTGCCTTTTGTCCTTTCCTCAAGAGGAGAGACCACTGGAAGAATCCTCCAGGGTTTCAGTTGTGGTGTTCTTTGTGCTCTTGTATCAGGTCTGGCTGGAACTATGTACTGCCCTCTTTGGGTGGCAGGGGTGGCTGAGGCTGCTGTGGTGGCTGCGTGCCTGTGGCTGTTTTGATAGAGTTCAGGGTTTTGCTAAACCAAGAGTTTTTGGCAGCTTGGATTTCATTCATAAGGGCTCCTCTCTGGTGCTCCAGCTCCTAAGAAAGCAGAATAGTCAGAATTGATCAAAAAACAGTTAACAAAAAAGCATCCTCAAACTCAGTCCCTGCAATCCAGCACTCTCCTTGCAACCTCCCAAGCACTGGGGAGAGAAGACAGATTGAAATTGTGAAAACAGCAGAAGATATTTAAATATACAAATGAAAACATCTTTTCTTTCTTTCTTTTCTTTTTTTTTTTTTTTTCTTTTAAGACAGAAAATTGTTCTGGAAGTTCATGGGTATACAGTGGTACAGGTATATGCTCCTTTTTGGAATGATTTTTTGCACGATTCAGAATTATTTTGGACTGAGCACAATGAGGTTAAGGAGACTGCCCCGCTGCACTTGGATTCCACATACCTGAATTTTGCACTTGGCTTCCACAAGCTGCAGTTTGGTCTGTGCAAGTTCCAGCTCCATCTCTCTCAGCTGCTTCTTCAGTGCATCCTTCTCATCATCTGTTTCTATGCCTTTATTCTCCGTGCTTACAGCAGGCAGCTTCAGTGCCCCCTCCTTACTGAAAATCTCACTGCAGTGTTTGCAGGCCATCACTTTACCCTGAAATACCCAGAAAGCTCATTTTTAATCCATGTTACAGGAGTTGTTGTGCTTCCTGGAAGAGCCATTTTTATGTTAGACTGCCTTTCTGTCAGTAATACTCGAACTAGTACTGCAGTTTTCATATTTGGCATGAAAAGAATTTGAGAAGTTCATGAACAATTTCCAGGGTCTATTAACCAGTATAAAAATTCCTAAAACCTATTAACATGCTCTGTCTAAGCACAGAGACTTTGTTCCTTGATTAGAATTACTCAAGCTTTCTTGCTACCAAAGCAAATAATATTTTGCAGTATTTATGCTAGCACAATTCAGAAGAGTAAATTACACTCTAGGGACTTTCTGACTTCCATAAAGCACTTGACTAAATTAATACAGATTTTGATATTTTAAAGAATGCCAGGTAGCTTTTCCATATTTCTAGGAGCAAGCGAGCAGCCTGTGCTCACTGCAGGGGCCAATACTGTCCTCCACCAGCATCATAGGGGATGGCCCTTTTTGCCAGCAACGCCTGACACACAACAGTGGGGTTCTCCTGCTACCAGGAGAGGTGAGCCAGCGACTCATGGCTGAAGATGTAGCATGGCTGGCCTGGCTCACGCAAACAAAAATGGACTATTGAGCCATTTCAGCAGATTATAGGAACATCAATCCTAGAATTATTTTTTTTTAATCAATAATGTTAAAAAGTCACTAAAAAGCAACAAATCAGGTTCAGTTTGAGTACTAAAGAAACAACTAGAAACTATAGCACAGGGGCAACAATTCTGCCTACTCAGTAGTGACAAAGCAGAGGGATGGAAATCAGGAAACTACCTCTAGTGCAGATGTTCCTGGTAAGGGGATTTAGAGAAGGGAGAGGAACCGCTTTGGAAATTCTGGGGATGGCCCAAGCTGTGCCAATTACTTAAACCAACTCTGCTTAAACTACAGAAACGTGAATATAGACAGTGTCCAATTCGGCCAATTCCAACCCCTTCAGTGTGCATAGTGGAGAAGCAACAGGTTTTCTTGAGAGTCTTTGGGTTTTCTCATTTAATTAAAACATCCAAGTAAATACTGTCTCTCTACATTTTTTGCAAAAAGTATACATTTCAACAGGAAAAACTATATGCAATTCAGTTTGAGAGTTCCACCCTGTCTGATGTAAGATAAAGAACCGTGAAAGGAAATAAACCCTTTCATTGTTTACGTCTGATGAAAAATGCATGTGGGACTATGAGTGCAGCTGGGTGGACACTGCTGCTGTTACATTAAACTTCAATTCACATTTTGCTCTGTATCCCTGGTATTTAGCAATACTTGCATTAGAAACATCCCATATACAGAGGCATCATTCTCACCTTCACAACTTCCAGTTCATCTTTACTTGCCGCTTGTTGTTTTTCCAGCCTGGTACTCAGCTGGGAACAAATCTGGAGCAGAGAAAGCAGTCTCTTAGCTGAAGTTTACTATACTAAAATATAACCTGTGCTTTTTAACAATGATTTTTGTTAGAGCCAACATTTCTTAAATTCTGCCTCACTCAGGTGTATGCATTCCCCCTTAACAAAGCCACTGCTGCTGATAATGAGACTGAAAAAAATGGCAGTATTCAATACAGAACCTGAACACTGAGACCGGAACATTTTATGCATGAATTGGTTTATAATGTTTACACTGTGTTATGTCACAGAGTAAAGAAGCATTCACCTCCAGTACTAAAATTAGCTGAAAGACAGGTTATTCCTGATTCCCTCAATTAGTAGACTATTAGGAAAACCAGAAAAAGATTTATGACAAATTACAATGCTTGCTTTCTGAAAGCCTGAAATGTAGTGTATCTTATTTAAAGGATGAGATCTGCAACTCTGAAAATTCAGCGCTCAGAACAGGTTGAAGGAAGAGATATGAGAAAGCGTCTCTAGAGCAGTACCTGTTTATACTCTGCAATAATGGCTGTAGTTTTCTTGATCTCAGATTCTGCCTTCTCTAGCTGCTTCCTGAAGACCTCCTTCAGCTAGGAATTGAAGGAGAGAAGTTACACAGTACTGAAAGAAGTTCTCAAAATGCATCATCAGATTGTTCTCTCAAAGTCTTGCTGTATTTACAACAGTTCTACAGCTGCGTCTTACCAAATTCCAGTTCTTCAGACAAGTGTCTGATTTACTAAGTATACAAATATTTACTATATTCAGTTAACAACCAAAAAGTCTATACTGTGATATAGTGTATCCCTGTTTAGAGAATTCTCCTGTAGGATAATTCTCTTTATGTTAAATGGTGGTACAGTGTGGTCCACAGAACGCAAAACAAGAGCATTACTATGTTTTCCTGATTTTGTTTTTGTGTTTCTGCACACTGTCACAGCAGGTTTGGGCAGACAGATTGTTTGTTTGTTTGGAGATGAATAGGAAGAAGAATCTCTTAGTGCTATCTCTCTCATCTCCGTAACAGGAGAAAAAAAAAAAAAAAAAAAAAAAAAATCTGTTTTGGTCTGTGGTGCTGCATTAAAATACAGCTAACTCATTCCTCCACCGTTCAGAACCACTACATTTTGAGAGGCCTTTCAGTAGGAAAAAGGCCTCTCTACTGCCTTCTTTATAGCAAACGGGGAACTTGGCAACCTCCATTTTAGAGACACACAAAGAATTACCGTTTGATTGTTGTAGTCACTGTTACCAAATGGCAAAAATAAAAATCAGGGTACCACTTTTGAAACATACTTTCATGTGTGTCAGTATTCAGCATGTTAGATATGTAGGATTAAAAAGCTAAGACTGAACATTTTGCAAACAAGTATGAGGCCAGGTCTAGTCAGCAAAATTCTCCCAACCCTCAACTCTGTTCTGCTGTTGGTCCTAGCTTCAGATGGGAACGTTCACAGCTTTATTTCAGTGAACCAGCAGCTGAATCCAGAACGGCCTCTTGCAGGGCAACAACTCATCCAGCTCCTTGTTTAGATAATTAAGAGAAATCTGATCATGTCTCCTTAGTTGTGATTGCTCACCAACAGTGAAAATGATTATTACAATACTGGAAAGAGGATAAAGTATGGAAAACTGAACATTCAGAGCTCAAGTAAAGGAAAACACTGAAAAGCATACTTTAAAAAAAAAAAAAACCACAGTACATTTACCCTGGCACTGTAAATTTTTAATTGCGACTGCATTTTGAAGACAAAAATAATTTCCGTAATTGCAACACATTCATGTTTTTTTGCATATCCTTTTGCTTGCATTTCCTTGTTAAATGGGAAAAGTTGGAGAAAGCCTTACCTGAGCAGTTTCCTCTTCCTGCTTCCGTTTCTCTTCCTCAGTCTCCACTAGCTTCTGTTTGGTCAGGAGAAGTTCCTTGTTCAAAACATCTGCTTTGTCTTCAGCCTAGAATTAGAAATGCTGGTGTAAATCAGATGTTATCTGTGCCAATACAATGTATTGGTGTATACATCTTGGAAATATTGCAGCTTCAGGTTCTAGCATTGCCTTTTCCTGCCCTCTGATGGCTCACTTAACCTATTTTTTGTATGAAATTCCCTTTTCAAGTAGCTATTTTCTAAGTTATTTCACCATTTTTCAACAATTGTGCAAAAGGACCCTTTTGCCAAATGTTTACCTATGGCAAGTAAGCATAGATACTATGTCCTAATACAAACCTAATACAAACAATGATGTATAGAATATTTTTGTTGGGAACAATATTAATCTAAGCGAAGGCAGCATGATTTAGATCCTGTGTAACTTCAGATAACTCATTCCATTCTTGTATCTGTAAGTGGGGAAACCAGATATTGTACAAAACGTTAGGTGTCTGCACTGTATCTTACAAAGTGTCCGGGTGAAGACAAATAGAAAAGAGACAAACAGGACCACCAGATAAAATGGTTTGTTTATCAGTGCAAATAAGCGTTACCTGGAGAAACTTGATACTGTGTGTGTACTGGAGAATATGAATTTTCTCCCTTCTTTGAAGGGCCAGGCTTATGGTGAAACATACTGGGAATGCTTTGTTTTTGTGAGCACTATCCTCACCGATCATGAGGAGAGAAATGTATTTCTCAGTGTCTGGACATATTCCGTTGACCTCCCCAACTGGGAGATACACACTGCATCATGCCACTCCTTCTGTTCAGTAACTAGGTGCTAGAACAGGCAGTGGTTGTGGTCAAATAATACTTAGTTTGCTGAAAATACAAGAGGGAAAATGGCATTGTAAACACCAAATAACAGTACAGAACTTGTCTCCGAGTTGCAGTTTGGTTTTCTACCGCTGCTGGTGGTATTAGCTTATCTGTCTGCCACAGCGTTAATTGTTAATGAGGGTGTTAGTGGCGATTGTGGGTAGCAGAAGCAGCTCCACCAGGGCCACGACTGAAGAGATGGGAGGATTCCTGCATTGCTTATTGTGTATATGGCTGTATGGGAGAAAGGAAAACAAGCAGTGAAAGAATGGAAAATTGGCAAGATTGACATCTTAGAACAAAAGAACTTGGGGATTACAAGGGTATTTTTGATGAAAGGCCTGTTTAAGACATGCTTTGAAGGAACTACAAATCTTTCCTCCTTTTATGTGTTCATTCCAGGTTCCACCATTCCAGTGGTGTATGGCATCACCTGTCCTTGCAGATGAGGAGTGCACAGCACAAAGCTTTTCTTTCCATGCCAGTGAACTGAGGCGGGGTGTGGGAAAACTTCATGGAGCCACTCTTGTCTACAGAAAGACTGCTAAAATGCAGGAGAGCAAGGAATGGGACTAGCAAAGGTATGTGCTTGGCAGCCTTGTCATGATACTTGAGAAAAAACAAGCATGGGCAGCAGCAGACATAAAGTTGCTTTATGTGCAGCTATTCCCAGGGAAGACAGAGCACCTCAACACATTGCCTTTGGCCTTCACACAAGATTGCCCACTCCATCATGCAAAGTGCATCTCTGCCTGCATTTGCTCACCAAGACAGCTTGGATTTTTAGAATCACATGGATCCAAATCAGCAGAGCCTAACTGTCAAGGATCTGCCTACACAGAAATACAAATTGCACATGTGTGGTCAATGATGTTTATAATTCTGAGGTTAGGTAAAGAAAGCCAAATAACTACGGGAAATCAAATTGAGAGGCCCTTGCAGGAAAAGATTTTACATTACAAAAGGCACTACAGCCCTCACTGAGCAAGGGACTAATCATGAGGTGTGGTGGAGTATCGCCCTCCTGTATTCAGTGCCTTAATAACAGCTGTTATGGCATCTATCAATACTACATAAAACACTCCACAAAGAGGAGGGTTGACTGTGTAGTTCTCTGACACTCATCTCTGAGATAAAGGGCTCTGACTGCTGCTGCCCTCCACATTACAGTCTTCACAGGAAACAAAAGCAGTTCTTGAAGGACACCCAGGAGCCCTTCTAATTTTTGGTGCCATGCCACTTCATTATCTCTGAATTTTGTTGGCTGTACTAAAACTGCTGTGGAAAACAGATCCACGTAAGGTGGTAGACATTCTGCAAAGTAACTTCCCTTGAAATTAGTCTTTCAAGGAGTACCTTTTTTCAAGTAAACTTGCATTCTTTGGTATCTGCCCAAAGGTTATGGCTTACATTTTCTAAAACAATCCACAACAGAGAAGGTGCAGTCAGTGTTGGCAAGACACCCCTGGGAATGCCTACAGTTGCATGCATGTGGAAATCCAGCTTTCTAACTGCAACTAGGAGCAAGGTTGTCAGGAAAATAAAGGCACAAATAATTATATTTTTCATGTCGTGTTCATGCTTTCACTTGAGCACAAAGCAGGGCTCCTAAAATTCGGTGTTGCCAAAAGCCTGAGCTGGGAGCCATCTCTGTTAGCATTACCTGGTCTAGGTCATTTCGTAAGGCAATTTTGCTTGTTACAAGCTCATGGGCAAGGTCATCGTTCTCCTGCTCCAGCCGCATGCTTGCTTCTTGGAGCCTGCGGTTTTCCCTCTGCAGAAAGAAAGGAACAACCAGAAAAGGAAGTTAATCCTTATCAATATTAAAGAGCAATAAGCAAGTATATAGTGTGTGTAAAACACTGAGAAGGCAAGAGTGCACATTAAGACAGGACTGCTGCTCTGGGAAACAACAGTGAATTAAGCCAGCAGTGCAAATGCAGCGATTCCACTTACATCCCAATGGTTATGTTTGTGTCGCAGAAGTGACACGCTGATTGTAGGGTTTCTCTGTCAAAAATATACACAGTCCTCTCCACAAAAGCACTTGGTTTCTGCTTGCTCATCATCAAAAGAAATTAGGCAGATAAAATCCCACCCAGCAGCAGTGAACAGGGACCAATTAAGAGATACTCATAGTAATGTTTCCAATCGGAAGTAGAAAGCTGTCCTGCTCCATTTTACAAAATTTTGTCTGCAGGAATCCATAAAAACAGTCCATTCTGTAGATGATGTAGTGCCAACTTCCCATCTTCTGCGGGACCAGTAAACAGCAGCACTTAGCAGGGAACTCCCTACAGCTCCTATAATCCACATCGCCATTTGTACGCTTTCTCTGTAACTTGTGCCAGTGACAACAGTGCATGTTTTACAGGATACCTGCTGAGAAACAGTGCCAGATGGAGAGGGGACCTCACTCCCTGAGCGCAGGCCCAGAGCCTACTCAGCGGGCAATGCACGGCAACACAAAATGCAGAACTGAGACTGCAGGCCCTGGTCCTTGCTGCACTGCACTCCCTACCCACTCCGCACAGGCAGAAATGACTACGCAGAGCCCTAACTAGAGAAGGTAAGTACACAGGAGAAGAATGAGCAGTAGTAATTCGTGTTTTTTAAAAATTGGTTTCAGTGACTGTTCTTCTAGGGCTGAGAAACAGAATCATATTCAAAAGATGTCTGTGGGTCAGCAGACTTCCAGGAGTCCACATGAAATACACATCTTCATCTTCAGAAGAACACAGACAGGTGGGACAGATAGAGGTGCACTCCTCAAACAGATTTTAAGAGAGCAAAAAATGTGCTGGCCTTCAGTCACACAATGACCGTGTATCTTTTATACCAAACGAGACTGACTGCAAAGGGAATCTGTGCGCTATGGAAACTCAAGGCAAAATACCAAGTTCATGTGGAAACTCATAGGTGGAGGAACAATAACCTACATGCTGAGATTTCAAAAAGGACCTGTGCTCACTTGGAAATTAAGTTATGTTCTCCAAGAAAAAACAGTAAAAGTGAATATATATCAGCACTTAAGACAGCAAAAAATTTCCAAGAGTTGTTCAGTGAATGCCTTCCTATAAAATGTGATTTCTTTGCATAAGCACATTATTCACCTGTCTTCCTCCTGCTCACGAGCTACGCTCAGATGTTTTTTTCTTTCCAAACTCACCACCATGAAACTGCAATTTTCATTTCTGTTGCAAGAAGATTTTGCACGCTTGTCTTGAAAAAGGACAACTACAGCTCTAAGAGGATGCTAAAAAAGGTCTCTTCTGTGTGGGAGCTTCCTCTGTGGCAGGAAGCAGAACCTCTGTAAATACTCTCTCCTTAATGTGACCCCATTGTGCAACTAGACTATGCTGCCCTGTACAGGAAAGTAAGTTTGTTTCCTTTCCAAAAGATCGTACTTTAAATAACTTGTTTTGTTACAGAAACTGTAAGTAAAATACTTTTGTTTTAACACAGTTAAAATAACCACTGCAAAAAGACGCATAACTTTGGGGATCTTATTTATTTTAATTGCACTGTATTCTCTTTGGGACAAGGAATTTATAAAAGTAAAATTCTTCTGTAAGGATAATACAAATTTTGAAGTGTAAAACCAAATTGCAGTCTTTAATAATAATAATTAAAAAAGGCTCCAACATGTCTTTATTTCTGTATTTTGTTCAGACCATCTTGGAAATATGGATTTTTATAGACACAACTCTGCCAGCGAGCAGTTGTCAGAAAGTGACTTGTTTTCACCTAAAACCTGGGACTAGATCAGGACGGTATTGCTGCCAGGTGCTGCAGCACCGATACCTTCTCATAGGGATGTTGCTTAGAGGGAGAAATCAGCAGATTCTTAAGACTTCCACAAATTAACCCACAAAAAAGTTTGCTTTAACATTTTTGCTATGCTTTTGCCAAAAGCTTCAGTGTCCGCAAAGCAAGCCGCACAATGTGAAGTTCGAAGTTCCTGCTTTGCATTCACAGACAAGTGGGTAAGCAAGCTATGTGGCTGGAAATGCACTATCCTCCTTTTAAACTAGAATTTATATGCCACGTTTTTAGTAAGTTAAAGATCTTACCTGGGGCATCCAGTCAATAGCTAAGAGATGTTTTTATCTCGTTCACCATACTTTTAATTTCCAGCTGAAAGTCTCTTCTAGGGCCACCTTTACTCCTCCACACAGGGCAGTATGTGTGATTAGATGGTTTGTCTTTTCCAGCTCCTCCCCCCAGATCTAGCAGTGAAAAACTGCCTCCTTCCTCAGGAGGAAACTCTTAATCTGCTTAAGTCTAAATAAAACCTAACGTTACACAGTAAAGACAAAAATAGCAAACAGTGCTTTTCATATGTAGCAAACTATTTTCAATGGCTCTGAAATATTTACAGGGTTTTATAAAATACCATTTGCAATGGCATAAAGTTCAACAGATGGAGCTGGTTTGTTGCAGCAGGACTCGCATCACAGACAGCATTTTGTAACCTGGCATAAGCCGACTTGTCAGACCTGCTAGCTGTCCTTGGTGTAAACAGACAGCTTCCTGCCTTTTCTCTACACGCCACTCACAATTTACTGACTACAACAACGATTTCCTTCTCTTCGGCATTGCTCAGTTTCTACAATCAGTAAAACGAGATTCCTCTTTCCCAAATTCCTCCTTCCGGTTACAAAAGGCAGCTGGTGAACTCTGGTTAGCTTTTAAAAGGAGGATACTGCATTTCCAAAAGGGACAAACACCGCTGATACATAACAAACACAAATAAACTTACCTCCTGTAAAGTCACAGACCAAATACTGCTTTCAACCATTGGTGTAAAGACAGTGAAAACAGGATATAAAATAATTTTTAATGCCAACAAAGACAGCAAAAAAAAAGTTGCTGATTCTTCAGTGGGTTTTTGAGTTTTCTGAATTTTAAAGAGAATATACTCCAGCTTCCATCACTCACTGGACGGAAACAAGAAGGCAAATTTGAAAGCAGTAGGCAAGTCTCAGCTCAGGAAGACTGAAAGGCTGAACTCCACCCTCTGCTCCCTTCCAGCCAGCACCAAGGAGCAATTCTTTACAAGATTAGTGGTGATGATGCATCCCTCTCTGTGCTGCTACTCAAGCAGGGTGTAACGAGTCACAAACCTTGTTAAGCAATTCAGCGTTCCATTTTCTGATGAGCAAACACCCAAACCCCAGATCGGTGGGCATGAACAGATCCTCAATGGTGGAATGAAAACGATGATTAAAATTCACTTTTCTGGATGTGAGCAAACCGAAATCTTCATAAGCCCACTGGAAAGGGCTCTTGACTGCGGAGGAGCTCTGAAGGAAAACCCTGTGAACCTCCACTTAGAAACCCAAAAGGCTTTTACAGCAAACTATCCAGGAAAACCTCTCATGGGAAGCAACACAGAGGCTCCTGGTGGTGGTTTGTGTTTTCTGTTTGTTGACTCTGAAGAAGCATTCCCAGAAGTGCCCCAGCACACTTTTTTTAACAATCCACAAACAAACAACGATCCACATCAAGAGTTGTCTTACTTTTTCCTCATGATGGTTACCATTCAATTACCATGACTGAATAAAAATGACCACTGTATTAATTTTTGCTTCCCCTTCAAACACGCAAAAGGCTATTACGTCCAAATTACACATTTATTCAGAGAGACAACTTCTCCGTTGCACAACAAGGTCCACAGAGGAAAAGGCATTTCTACCCTCAGAACAGAACTGTGTGCACGAGCAGGGTCTGCTTGCAAAACTCCAGCCCTTCCTTGTATGGTTATATCCTCTTTATTTGAAATCAAGAAGTCTCAAGGCCAACTCCAGCAATTTCTCATCAAGGCAACCAAAACCCTGTTACATGAGATGTTCTCAAACACAGACAAAAACCCCATAATATATAGAAAAATAAAATTCTGAACTATATTGCTATTTTTTCTGTATATGCAACTCACTTTTACTCCTGGCTTCTATAGGTAATTTGTAATTTATTTTAGCCAAAAGTCATGAAATTTGGTGACAAACAGCAATTTAGAACATATTTACTTTTGCACCTTTTAAAAATCTGACAAAAATGTGAGTGATAATTTGTTATAAGCAATGGAAAATAAAGTGAAAAGGTGTCCATAAAAAAAAAAATACACTTTTCCTAAATAATACTTGTAAATACAGAAGGAAACAAACACCAAAAGTAATGGCACTCTTTAATACTGTTCTTTTGGTAAGTCAAATCACAGTCAACATGTAAAATACGAGCTGGGCAGGAACTCCTGTGGCATGTAACACAGCTTATTGTAGCACATGAATTTAACCTGTCAAGAAAACGTGACTGGTTAGTGACAGGCCAAACGTTGCAAGAACAGCCCTTTTCTGGAGCCTATGGAGAGTTTGGGGTCGGTGGGATTGGAGGAGCACCCTGCCTGGACATACCCAGCTGCCCTCAGGCAGGAAGCATCTCTTCCCTGGCATTCCACAGGAGGCTGCTCAGCCCCACCATTCCCGTACTCGGGAACACCTCTAGGACCTGAGCGCTGGGGAGGAGAGGAAGAAGCACGCTGTGCTCTCACACTGCTCTGGTTCAGTCCTGGTCCCCCCTGGACGCCAGGGTGAAAGTCAGACGCACACGCGAGAGCTGCGCCAGCTCCCGTGCGTTTCCTCCCCACTGCTCGCAGCGCAGCATGGATGGACCAGGAGGAGGAGACAGCAGTGCGGCAGGGGCCCCACTGCCATCGCAGCGGCTGCTCCCAGCCCAGCGCAGCACACAGCCCACCTCCTACTCTCTCAGCAGTCCATCAAGCCATTTCCACTGAGGGCCAGGTCACAGGCAGGTGTCTTACTCAAGACATCCTTCATCACTGCAATTCAGAAGTGCCAATGTCTCTGTGGTCCTGACAAACCTCTGTTGGCAATAAAAACTGTAACATGCTGCAAACAACAAAAACTCTAACAACTATAACTAAAAACTATCAACAGACTGAAAGCTTGTTTCCTTCTTGACCTCTAAGAGGACTATTCTGCAGGGGTCTCCACTCCAGCGATACCATCCAAGCAACATCCCCTTCCTGGGCAGTAAACCAAAAACCTGTTTTGTTCTGGGAAGAGAAACTGTAAAAATTACAACAGTGTAGGCCTTCAGGGCACAGCCCACACAGAGAGTGCACAAAGCCAGAGGGAGCTAACAGCAACGCTGCACTCGGAAGCAATATTGGCTTTTCAACAGCATAGACTCAGTCCTTTCTCAAACCAAGCCCGGATGGGCAAAATCTAGCACTGATGCTGCCAAAATGAAATGCATTTCTAAATACATGGGCTGCAGAGCGATCATCTAAGGGACAAGCGAAGCTGCCTCTCCGCTTTCCGCCTGTGAGGATCCACACAGTTTGCATTTCTCGCTGCCCTTTGGAAACACTCTTGAAATGTCAACTCCTACCAACCTCAGCTCGACACATTAATAAAATCAAACGAGCAAGACAAGGAACAGCGAGCACTTAGAAGCATTTCTCCATGACACCCATCAGCTGAGAATAGGCCTGAACTTTGAACTTAATGTGCAACTAACCAGTTACAGGGACTTTCTCTAATCACAGCATCGCTAAGAGGATCAGACCCAATCTTAAAAAAAAAAAAAAAAAAAAAAAAATCGCACAGCGAGTTGCAAAAGTGCAAGCCAAAACCCTGAGCTGTGATCTTGACCGTGAGAGTGACTCACATAAACAGTGGTCAGAGTCACTTTCTATATACTCATTTGCAGCTTGGTGATAATGCGCTTCACCGTCCACCGCCCAGGATTAACTAGGTAGTATGCTTCCACAGAGCTTTAAAGAAGCCTTATTTAATTTCTAAGTATTATTTTAATTCCACAGTACTATAAGTGAACCACTGGAAAAATACTTAGTCAGCAGCAAGCTATGTTTTTTTTCTAAATAGGTCATACTCACTATTGGCTCTCGGCTGCTACAGCAGTCCCAGTGCTCACAAACAATAAAATCTACACCCTTTGACATCAAAAGAACTACACTCAAAACATAACTTCGCACAGGTAAATACTTAAAAATAAAAAAAAAAGTCAGTTTTACTTTGGCTGTACCTGTAACTCTGCCTCGTCACATTTATGAATTACAGCATAGTCTGTCCCTACAGATTTTCACGCTGTGGTTTTCTGAACATGGTGCGCTTTCCTTATGTTCCCAGACCACGTAAACCTGCTTCACTCTATATGATTATTTACTACTCCACGCTCCTGGTAGACTCCATACCAAATGTAATGTCACTTAACATATTAAGGCACAATGAAGAACAGCAGGAAAACCGTACAGGCGTATATGTAAGCAATGTCAGTTCCCAGCTAACCTGGGCAATGGGCAGTAAAGTGCTTTGTCTTTGGCAGCTTCACCTAAAGAAAACTGAATTTTTCAAAACAGGGTAAGCAATAAATGGATCCTGAACACTAAGTGAAGTATATGCCTAGAGGCAGAGCCTCCATCACACAAAAATCTATGGCAACAGAACGTAGCAGTGACAATAAAAGCAAATACATTGGAAAGACAAGCAATGCTGATCCAAAATTGAAGAACTATTCTTTTTTGGTGAGCTACCAAGCTATCATATTAATAACTGAACCTTTATTTCTCTGCTGCTTTAAAGCAGGGTATTTATCACTATGAAATCTATTGCAGTAGTACCTTGGGACCCCAGGAGACCTCTGGGTCCCACCGTACCAGGCATTATATTAACAAAAAATTACTAACGCTTGGTATAAACAGAGATGAGTAACAAGGATCAAATCAGTCAAGGAAGAGTTCATCTTCCAAAAGTCTCTGTGGATGCCACTGCACACAGCTTGCGCTAGAACAATGTGTATTTTCTCCTTTTTGTGTCTGTAGCTGAGAATCACCCTTTGTTTCTGCGTCTCATGAAGATCTCTCGTAAAAGTGCAACAGCAGGAGAGTTACCTACAAACATATAAACTGAAAGAAGAAAAATATTATATGTGGCTACTTGCAGATGTCTTGAGAGTTACAAATTGTGATTGAAATATTCCTCGAAAAAATGCTAAGTCCAAGTGTTCAAACTGCTTGTCCAAGAAAGGGGATGAGTTTCACCTGCCACTTCCCTAAGATCTGCACTGGCATCTCCCACAGAGGTGAGCGCAGTACACGCCCCTCTGCTTAACTGCTGGAAGCGGGTCACTCCCCATGGGACTTAGCCAACGAAACAGGTTCCCGTATAGCAGCTCCCGTACCTTGTATCTGTCCATAGGATCTTCCTGCTGCAGCTGACTCTCTCGCATTGTTTGGTACTCTCTCTCATATTTCTTCAGCTTTTTTGTTGGCACCTGTGGAACACATTTGGAAAACATGCATTTAAAGATTAGAGGAACACCGGAAAGGCTGTCTGAAAGCTCTCCTTGCAAACAGGAAGCCAAGGAAGTGCTGGAAAGCTGCTGCTGAATAAAGTTGCTCCCCATTGCCCACCCTTCCCTACTCAGCAAACCGTGTAAAACGCTTACCAATACAGTTCACATCGACAGAAATCTTTCTGTGCTTACTGTTGTTAATTATTCAAATATTTAAAGGAAAACAAGAGTGAAGTAGAGACATTTTAATAAGAGTAACAAGAAGGAAAAAAGCATGAACAACAGGAGTGAGAGAACAGGGAAGAGGAAAATATGCTTTCATAGGTATGATTCAACAAAACAATGCCTTAGCAAAAAAACTGTTAAAAGTGAGATTAGAAGAAAGAAACGTGCATGCAAAAGGACTGGACAATTCCTGGGGGAGATCAGAGTAATGTTTTTTATTGCTGAAAGAGTATTAATGTCTAAATTATGGCTTGTGACCAATGCCCTCATGAAGTCTGGCATCAGACTCCTCCTAGGCAAAGGTGGAGATGCTGCAGTGCCCGCTTCTAGCCGCAGCAGGGAAACAGTGAGGCAGCTACACAGAAATCACAAGCAAATCTGGTAAACAACCATGCAGGAAGGTCAAGTCCCAGACAGCTTGATTTCTGTGAAACCACAGCCTCAACTTAAAACAAGGTACACAAAGAACACCTGTATTTTTTTTAAACAAAGCATGGAAATCCTGTGCTTTACTTTCCCCTTTTAATTGGGTACACTGTGCTATCTGAGCGATCCAGTCTCTCTCTGGAGACCCTTAATAGCATTACTCTGCCCCTACCGTACAACAAGAAGAAGCTGGCCCTGCTAAGCATCGGGTCATCTGCTGGCAGCTGTAGAGATCCCTAACACCATGTACCATCATGACTTGTAAACAGATGCTTTTCCTGGATCTGTTATGTGTGTATCTGTTCCTCTTGCCTATATTGATCATGTCTAGCTGACTCCTGGTGTGAGGACATGCCACTGTCAACTTGCCTTAGGGCAAAAAATCACCGCCAATGAACAGAGATGCATGTTTACATGTAGTTTTGGTGTTGTTTTCCCTTTATTGGTTTTCAGCCCAAAACCTCCTTCCTCTGCAGCACAGGAAGGGACCAAGCAAGTGCTCAGTGTTGCTGCAGAGGCCTCTGGGAGGTACAAGTAGAAAACATGAAACCCATCATGTGCAAAGCACAGTGCACAGGGAGCACTAATAAAGCAGCACCAATGCCCGCAATTACTGATGAAATCTTAAACCAACCCCCCTAACAAAAGCAAAGAGAAAAGGGTAAACATAAAATCATGAAGCACTTTGGACAAATATACAAGAGAATTTAACTTTGATGAGACTTAATAGCGCAAAACACAATGAAATGAAAATGATTAAATCAGAAGCGTTTTTTTTACGTTTCAACTGAGCAACATTCAAGATGCAAACCCAGCCCGTTTTGTCTTAGCTGTGATCTTATGCAGAGAAGCAGATCAAGGCTCCCAGGCTGGGGTGTTACGAGGACACCCTACAAACCTAGTTCTCCCATCCTGTTGTGGAGTTTTGTGCTCCAGTATGCTACCAGCACAAAATGAAGATAAGTATGAGGGAGACATTGTGGCGCAGCATGGTAAAAAGGCACAACATAGGTGTAACTTAGAAGATGATCTGTTCAACCAAAGATTGTCCTGATTTTTGACACTTTTCACTAAGACTGGATAAAGCCTTTAAAGTACATATAAGAAGTAAGTCTCACTGCACAGAGAGACACAAACCTCCCATCCACACAGACGCGTGAATCCCTCCCCCCCCATTTCCCCCATGCGCAGGGGAGCCCCCCACCTTTACATGAGCAGTGCCGTATGCAGCCCAGCCCAGCGCCAGGTGTCGGGGACTGCCCCCACTGACCACAGCAGTGACCCACCAATGGCTTTACCTTTACAGCTGGCTGGAGCAGCACCCCTTTTTTGATTTAACCATGAGATTTGCTTAAATTACTTGTGAACAAAAATCGTAGTTCTGTCTATAATCCAAAAGATACAGGCAAAATACAGCGTAAAGATAATGATCTGAGTAAATAACTCTTACCAAGAGAGCAAATGGGATATAAAGCACTACTATGACCCAAATGCCTACGCTGGGCACTGTGCCACAGCTGTCCCTCACCAGGCTGAGCCTATGCATGAAGAGATGACTGCTGCTTCTCAGTAACACAACCTCACACGCAACAGCCAGCAGCGTGCAGCTCTCCTTGCTCATTTTTTAAACGCTAATTTTTTAAGTTGCCTGAGAGCAGCCTTATTTCTCTGGTTTCACCTTGTATTGAGATAAGGCAGAATTTAACTTGCACAAAGTCTATTTGGCACTTAATCATCTGCCTCAACAACACCAGAAACTAATCTGAACATGTTACATCAAAAAACATATGATGAGCAGGGGAGAATGAGACTCAGCTGCTTCGTCTAACTCTGCTCTCCACTGTCTTCGCAGTCCCCGTTTCCACTTGCTGACAATTCACAACCATTTCTTAATGCATGGTAACTCTTCCCACCAACCGTTCTTACCTGTATGTTCTCCTTTACTTTCTTAAATTTTAATTCACAGCTGTGAGTAGGACCATGTGTGGGTCCTCTGTGCCTTTATGGGGGCTAAGGTACCTCTTTCACCACTATAGGACCTATCCATGGCTGTGGCCTGGAATGAAGGGTGGTCCATGCTCTCCAGCAAGCAAACAGCATGGCAACACTTTCTTAGCAACGTTAACAGCAAATAATATGTGAAACAGGGATCAAATCATGAAAGGTGTAAGTGTCATGTTGTGACAGAAAACAACTTCCATGCTCACTGAAAGAATATCCTGACTTAAGCATGTTAGTATCTATTCCTTAATTGGAAAGCAATACCTAAATACAGTGAAAGTCTATTTTAAGGGTTTGAGGGTGGGTGGGAGGGTGGCGGAAA